GTCATTTTCTATGTGACTTTTTTTATGCATAAGAGAGTTAGAAATAAATTTGAGACAGTTATCTCACTTTCCTTTTAATGAGTGATGCTTGAGTCTGTTTTATTTCTTAGCCTTTCCTGGTGCAATAGTAGAAGTTTATCAGTTTTCCACAGAATTTTTCAACATAATTTTATGAAAATGCACTATCATTTTGAAGGATATTTATTTATTTATTTATTTATTTATTTTATTATGTTCTTTTTGTTGTTAGTAATTTTTCCATCATTGGGAACTGTGTTCAGCACTAGCTACTTTATTTGTACTGAAATAACAAATAGAAGGTAAATAATTATGTTGCTTGGATGTGTTATTCTGTGTCTGACGATGCTACTGTAATGACCACAGAGATTTACATCATACATGCTCAGAAGTTGTTAGACTGTTAACTTAGGTATTCTAAACATACCTTAGGCAAACGAGTCCCAAAGAAGTTATTCATCTGTACTTGTGGAACTGTACGCTTAAGGTAATTTGTGGTCAGTGGTTTTTTTTTTTGCCCTGGTTTCAGTAAGAGTCCAGATAAAGCATACAACATACCCATTTGTTATTAGAGTAATTTTTAATGCAACTTCACTTGTGATACCTTCTTTACTTTCCATAAATTGTATTTTAAACAATAAAATAATTCGTCTCTTAAGACTGTTGATGTCCAAAGGTTTTACCAAGGCTGAGTGATGCTAACTAAAGGGGGTTTTGTGACTTTTAATTTTTGCCGTAATAATTTCTGGCTGAATAAATCATTAGGAAATCATGTTGCATCTTTTCTAATACTTAAAAAACACTATTGGGAGAGTAACATTAAGTTTAATCCCTCATTGCAATATCTGAGCAGTATACCTTTTGAGGAGCGATGATGCCTGCTTAGTTGAAGTTAAATTATGACATCTGGTGGATAACTACTAGACGGAAATGCTGATTCAGTTGGACTCTTAAACAGTGATATCAGAATTACTCTATACACCCTGGGGACTCTCTCACATCCTGGTTCCATTCCAGATCCGGAGGTTAAGAACACATTCATGTGCATACAATGAATGACAAACCAGTTCCATTATAATGGAAACATTGTTTGCATTTAGTTGAAGATATCCCCCTGAGGAAATTTAGTGGGTGTTTTGTGTCAGATTTGTTCAGTTAGTGACACTGTGGATCTGCTGGTTTTCTGGGTCTTCTGAGTGAAGAAAAAGTAGCAAGTTTTTGTTTTAAAGAAAGGGGCTTTTGTTAGCTGTGATTTAGATGGAGAACAACTCTGGAATTGGAATCTTTAGTTTCAGTAGACAGAATTCCCATTGGATTAAATGGGCATTATATAAAGTATATATAGGGAGCAATAATACTTTAGCCATGGTCTTCAGTATAAGTAATTTGCCATATGTGGTAACAGCCCATTTTTAGAACATTTAAGCTGTCTTGGGGCACAGTACCACCTCAGCTGATTGACCGTGGTTACTGCAGTTCTGCCCTGTGTGTGAATTTCACACGCCAGCTTCCAGTCTTCTGAAATGACTTCGATAAATAGCAAATATTTTCTGAGTGAGGTCATATTTGAGGTGTTGCTGGACTGTTTATAGTTATAAATAATGTAAACTCCTGTTTTTAATTATTTCTGACAAGTGCATTGGAAAGCAAGTAGGAAATTCAGTACCTATGATTGTATGCTGGAATGGAGCAGAATTTGCTGTTCCTGCGCAGAACAGGCTATATATACCTCACTTTTGAAGGTATGTATTCTAAATTTTTCATATAAAATAATATTTCCCCCCCATACAGAATAAATATCTAGTTTTGGCCATCAGCTTTTCTGAAAGGTGGCAAAGCTTACTCAGAACAGATCAGTTTAATAGTTTGACAGAAATTAAAGTGTGATTAAATACTGGATCATAAGCACTTCTTATAAAAAATATTTTAAAAAATAGCCTGTTGAGGCATCACAGCAGTTCTCTGGGCTGTCAACGTGAACTTTCCAAGTACAGATGAAAGAAGTATCTCCTTTGGTACTCACACCTGTAAGAGAAGTAAAGAAGGAAATAAATTATTGAATAGTTTTTTCCTGTGCATAATACAGTCCAAGCCTTTTGCCAATCCCTAGACTTCTTCCATAGGCCTGTGCCACTTCTTGTCCTGACTTGCAGGTTAAAATTCAACTTAATATCTAGATTATCTCACCTGACAGAGAACAGATGAGCTATTCTAAATTTGAGTGACTCCTTGTACTGATTACATAAATATATAAGGTTGTTGTTTCTTTAACTGGCAGAAATGTGATCATTTATTCAGGATCTTCATTTCAGAGACATTCTACATTTTTATGGGAGGTGATCAGTATACATTTCATGTCATCTCCTCTAAATTGGTAATATTGCTCACTTATATCTGAGAATCATCAAGTCCAACCATCAACCCAGCGTCACCATGCCCACTAAACCATGTCTCGAAGTGCCACATTCACACAATTCTTGAGCACTTCCAGGGATGGTGACTCCACTACTTCCTGGGCAGCCTGTTCCAGTGTTTGACCACTCTTTCAGTAAAGAAATTTTTTCTGATATTCAATCTAAACCTCCCCTGGCGCACCTTGAGGCCATTTCCTTTTGTCCTATCAGTTCTTACTTGGGAGAAGAGACCAACTCTCATCTCACTGCAACCTCCTTTCAGGTAGTTGTAGAGTGCAATGAGGTCTCCTCTCAGACTTTTTTTCTCCAGGCTAAACAACCCAGTTCCCACAGCTGCTCCTCATAAAACTTGCTTTCCAGACCCCTCGTCAGCTTCATTGCCCTTCTCTGGTCACTCTCCAGTGCCTCAATGTTCTTCTTGTTGTTAGGGGCCCAAAGCTGAACACAGTATTTGAGGTGTGGCCTCACCAATGCAGAGTACAGATGCACAACCACTTCCCTGCTGCTGCTGGCCACACTATTTCTGCTACAAACCAGGATGCTGTTGGCCTTCTTGGCCACCTGAGCACACTGGTGGCTTATGTTCAGCTGGCTGTCAACCAGCACCTCAGGGTCATTTTCTGTTGGGCAGCTTTCCAGACACTTTTCTCCAGGTCTGTAGCGCTGCTTGGGGTTATTGTGACCCAAGTCGAGAATCTGGCACTTGGCCTTGTTGAAGCTCATACAGTTGGCCTCAGCCCATTGATTTGGCCTATCCAGGTCCCTCTGCAGAGCCTTCCTACCCTCAGGCAGATCAACACTCCCTCCCAACTTAGTGTCATCTGCAAACTTACTGAGGGAGCACTCAATCCCCTCATGCAGATAACTGATAAAGATGTTAAACAGGACTGGGCCCTTTAGAGACTTGGGTTGAAAGTACTTGGCAAAAAAAAAGGGGGGGGGATTTTGTGCCCTACAAAAAGCAATAGTATTCCAAAAATGATCATGCTGTTTATTGGACTGTCTTGCTGTGCATGTGTTTACTAATCTGCAGGTATGCTCTCTTTAACATGTGGACTTATGCTCTACCACAGGGAAGACACCATACGTACATCCAAATATAGTTCGTTCTGTGGTCTGTATTTCTTATGGTAGTGTCCTTGAAGTTTTTCTAAAGAGAAAAATTTATACCGGTCTGAAAACTATGCTCGTGTACAAGTTAGAAGACTAACTTTGAAATGTGATCTAAACATTGCCAAGTATTATAGCCAGTAGTAAGATTTTATTGTTGGATTACCCAAGTATTTCTAGAACAACATGGAACATGGAACATGAGAAATCTGCTGGTTTTGTTCCCATTTTAAACTTGGATCTAGCAATTCAAGCTGCTACATGAAACCGTAAGAGTGTTTCTGTTCACAGTGACCTGGCAGCAACTAAGCTTGAAACCTGTTGATAGATTTGGGATGGAAAAGTTGTTTTAAGTTGAGATGTCAGGTGTCTTAAGCATTCACACTACTTCCCTTGTGTTATTTTAGCTGTGCTGTTTTCCAGCATGGCTCGTGGCAGATTTCATCCCTTTTCCTACCTCTGAGTAGTTTGTCACAACAAAGTATTTTTTCTCCCTCCCTTCTGCCTTGCTGTAAATTAAGAGGACACAATGCCTGTTTTTTTCAGGGCAACTGTGTCTACCTAGCTTGCTTTAGCTGTATGCATGTTTACTCTTTCTTCTTCCCCTCACTCTATTAACCACTGTTTTGAATTGGTAGTACAGATAATACTGATTTGCCAAATATCTATGATAGAACATTTGGTCTGGGATGCTTTTTTGTTAAAGCACAAAATAAAATAGTCATATCATTATTGTAATCCCAATTTCGCTCTGCAATACAGAAAACCATAGGTAATAATTTATTTGAAGTATTTGGAAAGATTTATGTTAGCTGGTATGTGGACCAAGTAAGAATTAATGGATGGATTTTAGTGTATTGAAGGTCTACAGTGTTTGCTAAACCAGCAGAAGCATCTTGTTTTGACCTTCATGCACCTTTCATACTGCTGATACTGCTGCAGGAGCCCTTAACTCAGGACTGCAATACATACTCTTCTGTATTTAGGAGATGTTGTAGTGGTATTTGGCTGCAGAGATCTGCATAGCCTTACTATTCTGCAAACACTGCAACTTACTTTAATTGTTCTTGATTAACATATGTATTTTTCAATGGGATGAACACTTCTCTTAATGACTTAAGATGAGGGACTTCATTTCCTCCAGAGAAACTCCAAAACTCATCCTTATTCTTTCCCTGGTTATCATATTTTAGTTTTAATATCTGGCAGAGCTTTCAAGTTTTCTTCTTTAAGAATATGCTCATTCTAAAGAAGATAATAACATTAATCCTTATAATATCAAATAGGCAATTATATAGAAATTTACAAATATATTTAAATCTATGCTTTGTTAAATATTTCCACTAAAATTATGTATTATTTTCTAGAGAGGGTAAGTTCACATTTTCCATGAGTTTTTCTTTTTTATGTAGGATTGTAACTAGAAACTGATACAACTCTCTCTTCCTATTTCAGACTAGAAGATGAATAATCTTTCCTTTAGTGAACTGTGTTGCCTGTTCTGTTGTCCACCATGCCCAGGGAGAATTGCATCCAAACTGGCATTCTTACCTCCTGATCCCACGTACACACTGATGTGTGATGAGAGTGGTAGTCACTGGACTTTGCATCTCTCAGAACGAGCAGACTGGCAATATTCTTCTAGAGAAAAAGATGCAATTGAGTGCTTCATGACTAGAACAAGTAAAGGTAACAGGATTGCCTGTATGTTTGTGCGTTGCTCACCTAACGCGAAGTATACTTTGCTCTTCTCACATGGAAATGCGGTTGACCTAGGTCAGATGAGCAGCTTTTACATAGGACTGGGTTCACGGATTAATTGCAATATATTCTCTTACGATTATTCTGGATATGGTGCGAGTTCTGGGAAGCCAACAGAGAAGAATCTGTATGCTGACATTGATGCTGCTTGGGTGGCTCTTAGGACAAGGTAAGACATTAGTTGTCATTTTTCTTTTACAGCATGCTTTTCAAATGGTTGTACTTAATCTGCATTGGTAGTTTAAACAGAAATGCTGTATTTTAGGATTAATGGATTCATATCCAAGCTGATCGGTGGTGCCTTATGCTGAAGGCATTGTTGGTATTGAGAAGAATCAGTGCATAAGACTGATATACTAGAAAATTTGAAATAGGATTAATTTCAGTAAAGTATGTTTCAGTCCTAAATGATTAGGATATAATCCTTATAGTCACAGTTTGGGATCGTCTCAGCTGGAAATATTAGAAGATAGGAAAAATCTATAATAGTTGATTCCGGAGTAACTGAGCCACTGGTGTGATGTGAGTGAGAGAATATGCAGGTTGGTTTTTCAGATAATTCCATCACCTACTTTTTTTCTGTGGTGAGAGGCAGTGGAAACGCTGTGATAAGAGAATATGGTGAGAGACTGTTTGAATTTCCTTGTGGTGTTCAGACCTCCTTTGTTTTCAATGAGCAGCTACAGCATTTCTAAAAAATGCTTTCTATATAAAACGAAAAGATGTCTTTATCTTAGCAAAATACGATATGTGGGAGAAGTTGTAACTGATCTGTGTAAATGCATTATGGTCGGAACAAAAAGTAGGAATTTTAATCAGTGGTGTTAGCTCAAATAGATTAAAACTTGACAAGGCAAAAAGTGCAAATTGGAAGGATGTTGTTTTAGCAATTTCTGTCTTCTAAGCCTCTGGTTTTAGGGAGATAAAATAGTAAGAAGACTCTGGAGGCATTCTCTGATATGGGTAAGAATCCTAGGCACCAAATAAATGCAGCACTGAGTACCCATTTCTTAATTTGAGAGCATTTTTCACTGTGATTACTTCCATTTTGAGCAACATTCTTCTTGTGTTACATGTACCCAAAATACAGAACTATTATTTTTTAAACCATTATGTGATCATAAAAATAGATGTTCACCAAAAAGATCTCTGATCGTATTGTGTATTTTGCACCTAAGAGCTGTGAAAAGCTGAATTTAATGTAGAGCAGCATGTTATGCTTTGGTCATTGCAACTTGCACATACTTTTTAATAAAATAATATTAGAAATGTCTTAGTGTAAGGACATATCTAAACACTCATTAAATCTTGGAGCCTGGTAGTTGTTGCAGTGAATTTAGAACTTTGTCAGTGTAATGTTAACTATTTTCCTATTACTTTGGAGACCGTTATTCATTTTCAGTGTTTTAAATACACATATTGTCTTCCATTTCCTTTACATAGTAATAAATGTGATAATTCTTTTTAAAGAAGCATATTTTATTCACATATTAAAATAGGGTGAATGCTTGTTATCACAAACTTCATACAACCACAGTGGACAGATATTTAGCCTCATATATTCAGAAACATGCATGCTGTATTGTTAGATTAGGGTTTGGCTCTTCTTTCGATTACAGTGAAAAGTCGAGATATAACTAGACATCTGTTTTGAAAGCCAAGAGCTGCAACGGGTGCACTGATGATGGTGGTTTGTAGTTGCTGGTTGATCTGGAAGATAGCCACTTGGTGAAATACCCAGTAACTGACCATAACCAGTATTTTATTTATGGACAATACAGAAGACAGTCTGAATTGTTTAAATGTACCAGAAAATAGAAGATAACTAGATGGTGAAACTTAGTTGTTTGTCTGTGTCAGTTTACAGGCTCTGGTTTGTGATTTTTGTCTATTTTTATAATTTGTAATTATTGTCTGCTCTTCCCCATGATGAATTTATGATTGAAAACATAAAAGAAAGTGTGATTCCAATTGAATTCTTACCTCCATTCTTGTACAAGTGTTCCTTAGTGTTCCTTCCCAAATTAAATAGGATTGTTCATTATAATATTCTATCTAACATGCCCTTTGCTGAAGAGAGGTTGTAGAGTGGAACCATAAATACACATTCCATCTCTGTGTTTTTCCCTCTCCCATGCAGGAATGACCTCTCCTCAATCCCATTTGTCCTCTGTGTTTTATTTTTTGTGTCAAAACCTCCTTTAGAAGTACATAATTCTGTAGAGTGTGTAGAACTTGGATTGGTTTGCCCAACTTGTGGATTTCACAAATGTGAACTGATTTTTTTCTATTGTGTTAAAAGTGGTTGGTTTAACAAGTTTCCACTGTGGTACTTTCAACAACTTTCCAGTTGGTAGACCTGGTCTTGTCCTTTTCTCTGAATGCTACATATAGCAGGGAGAAGTTCAGCACATGACTCTGGATGTACTGGCTCGCATGGTTTGGTTACCAGTCGATAGTATTCTCTTTAGCCCTGAGACAGTGCTCAGCTGTGTTTAAACACTTTATGAATACTGGACCAGAACGGAGCCTTTGAGCATTTGCTGCAGCATTGACTCACTCTTTCAGCATAACCCATATTCTGTCAGTGTTACACTGGCACAATTTTTAATGTTTTATAATGTAAGTGTTCTGCAAATGTTGTGGTTTAGGCCCAGTGCATAACTGAGCACCACGATGCCCCAAAAAAGGGCTAGTCAAAATAAGGACTGTGAGGGCTTCTCACTACTTAAAAAGGTCACAGCCAAAAGACAGTCTCATCATAAGGAATAAAAACAAAACAATTTTAATTTGTTACCAACATCAGAGTAGAACAATGGGAGATGCAACCAGATCTTAAAGTCAAAACACCTTCCCCCCACCCCTCCCTTCTTCCCGGGCTCAGCTTTTGTTCCCGGTTTCTTCACCTTCCCCCTCCCCCTTTGCCTTGAGGCGCAGGGGTATGGGGGTGGGGGTTTGCAGTCGGTTTTTTACGCCCTGTACTTCTCTGGAGTAGGAATACTCAGCCCAGCCTCTCTCTCTGTTTCCACATGGCTTCCCCCTTTCCATAGAGGAGAAAATTCCTCAAAAGTCCAATCTGGGTCTGCCCACAGCTGCAGTTTCCCTCACACAGGAACTGCTCCAGCATGCACTGCCCAGAGGCCCAGGAGTCGGGCTTTCTCCGGGGCCAGCCACTGCTCAGGTGGCCCCGCCCCACCAGTGAACTCTATGGGCTGCAGGCCAGTCGACCTGGCTCTCGCCACGGGTTGCAAAAGGGGAACCTGGGTTCTGGAGATCCTCCTCCTCCTCCCTCTCCTTTCTTTC